TTGCAAAGCATATATAATGCTGTAATACACTTTCCATTGTTGGTTGCAAGAAAAAAAAAAAGGAAGGACGTGAGATGAGAGGCTCTTTATTAGCAAGCAGCCAAGAGTGAACACATCAACTTGGGCAGCATTCACTTCTGCCAGTCATGAAATCTTAAGATTTTTAACCCTATCCATTGCATAACTTTTTTGCATAAGGTAAAATGAACGTGCCAATGTTCTTACCAAGTAATCAATGGTGCCTCTTCAGTCAAATCTCTTTTAAAAAATTAAAAGAGGCAGTACCCTCTTTTTGGCTTGTAATTCTGAAATTTTCTTTTTCTGTTAAATTCAAAGATTTAACAATCTGCTGCTAGGAAGTCAGTGTCACTCTGTATCAGAACAAATATTATTATTTAGTTGTATTAGTCTCACTGTGTCAAGATATTTACATGCTTTACAAAGTGCTCTCTAACTGGCAATCAGTCAAAAAATAAAATAAAATAAAATAAAATAAAATAAAATAAAATAAAATAATAAAATAAAATAAAATAAAATAAAATAAAATAAAATAAAATAAAATAAAATAAAATAAAATAAAATAAAATAAAATAAAATAAAAACACCCTCCCATTGATCCTTTTCAAAGATGAGAACTCCTGATAGAGGCCATGTCTACCATATCACTCACTGCAAACAGGGAGTAATAATGACCAAGGATCAGTCAGCAGTTATGCAAGTCTTTTCTTTTTCTTATGTGCAGAAAGTAAGAAGCAATGTCATATTCAAGAAAATGATTCCATCAGTAATTATTGGAATACTCATGTTCATAAACCAAACAAAATCTGGCCCTAATTAGAAAGTACTTATGAGGAGCATCTGTGAACAATGAGAACTGCTGACTGTATGGGTTTTATCAGAGTAATTGATTAGTTTGATTAGTGGTTGCTCAGTATAGGCTCTGCCTGACGGAAAGAAAACATTTGTGATGCCTCTGTGGTGCTATTAAGACTAATTAATTCCATCTTCAAATTAAATGAAGATTAACTATACGCTAATATTAATTTCTTATTTGTCTAGAAGTGCTAATTTTCATATCAGCCTGTTGCAGCCTGCATTTTTATGTTTGTTTGCTGCATATCAGACTCTTCACCTGACAGAGTGGCAAGATGATGCAAGACAACCATAAATGCAGCAGCCTGATGCTAGAGGAGCACAGCCCAGGTGCTCACAGTGGCAGCAGGACTGTGAGCTATGTGTAGAGTTAGACATGGGCTGTTTCTGCATGAGCTCTGGCCATGGGACAGAGCTCCATACAAGGAACACAGCTTCGGGTGATGAACCTCCGTGTGTCAGGTAGATCCTGCTCTTGCATTTTGCAGTATATCTAATCACATGAAGAACAGTTGAAAATAAGCTAGTGGTATATCTACCCTCATGTCACCGCTCGCTCCCAACAGTTGGAGCCCTTGCTCCAACTACAGAATGAGTCCTTGCTTTTCTGTTTTCTCTCATGTGCTCCTTCACCTCCCAAATATCTCCTCTGTTCCTTCGCTTGACAATACAAAGCCCAGCTATCCAGACTTCATTGTATGTTTGTTTTAGTATGTCTTTTTTTTTTTTTTGGTGGTACTGATTACATCCTCCATCCTGCTACTTTTCCTGCTTTCTTACAGGTTTCGTCATAATGAGCTATCTTCCTGTGTGTCCCTTCTGATACACAGCATGCTGCAACTGTCTTTGAGTGGACTCTGAGATCTGTGATCACTGTTTATTTTCTGTATGTCTCAGTTCTCCTGCTGCACCTTTAATAATTGAGCAGAACAGCAGAAGAACAGTTGAGTGCAAACAGTGAGGAGCTGATTGACACTCCTGTTCGTTTCTGAAACTAGCACCTTAGCTGGGATCTCTCAGCACATTAATGACAACTGGCAAATGGAGATGACTTGAAGCCCCTAAGAATGGATAAGAAAACAGGTGTTACAGGTTTTCTTTTCACGTTTTTTCATTTTCTTCCATCTTTAGTAATTAAAAAATAACAATCAGTAATCTAAACATTTGAAAAGACAGAAAATGTGGCAGTTTCTTTTCACGAACAAGCTTTTCAAAAATCTTTTAAGCGAACTGATTAGAATTACATCTGAACTATGTACTATATGTAGTACATAGTTCAGATGTAAGAACTACATAAGAACCATTTTTTTCTATGGGAAAACATGTATAGGGGAATTTGTTTTCAGATTGGAAAAAAAAAGTCATATAAGCCCCTTGGACTATGGAAGCACCTAGGGACCTGTCCAGAAGCTGCAGGAGGAATGGCTCCATGGGCTCCTAAACCAACTTGGAGGGGAAAATCTTGCCCGTTCTTTTTAACACTTGCCTCTGAGCAGCTAAGAAGGACAAATCGAGAGCTTGACTTTTTGGCATATTACCTCCCACAGGTTTGGTCGTTCTAAGGACAAGTGATTTGTTCCTAGTGCTGTATTTTTCATTGCAAAAAAGACAAGGATATAGGTTAAAAATCAGATTAAGGTTATCCCTCACCCACTATAACATCATGATACAGGGATGCATTTTGAGTATGTAAAATATACTTCTAAGAATTGAATTACTAATGCAGTAGAAAAAAAAGACCTTCTCAAATCATCACTTCATGATAAGAGACTTGGACTGAAGAGAGCCAGTTATCAGATGGTGAAACTTAATTCAATTTTTTATTTTCTAAGATTTTCCATTAATTCTTTACATGGGCATTTTTCTTTGATGTTGCTTTAATTTTGATTGCTTTATTTTGAAATGCAGTGATGTACTCTATATATCCTCAGATTCTTAGGAGATAAAATACTTCTGTCACTTTTAATTGAATACTAACACTTCTGCCAATTTCTCATGATTTAATGCACCTATTACCATTAACATGTGATTAACCTAGGTCAACACAGGCATGAAAAAAATTCTGAGTCATAAATGCATTTTTTGCTTTTGAATCATACCTAGATTTTAATAAGCTAATGAACAAAAGCTGTACTTCAGTAGAAAATAGAGATTCAACTCCTTATCCTATCTGCCTCACTGTATTTCCAAAGGTTTTGATTTCAAGAATATTTATGTTTACATATACATCTATTCACTTATTTGAGTCAGATCCCACGGGATTAATTGTGAAGAGCCGGAATCTGTGATGGAAGAATGAGGATCTCAGAATGAAGGTCACAGTTTGGATTTAGGATTGAGCACTTTAGAAGTGCAAGCTCAATGAGGCCAAATTTATAACGTAAAAGGCAATGCCTCCTTAAATGTTGAGGCATTAAATAAAGGCTTGCATGATCCCTTGCAGTGAATTCAGGAGTACAGCTCACGATCTTGTTTGTAGAGTAACTCGTATCTTCAGATACCATCAATCAGAGATCAGATCCAGGCACCTGAATCTGAGCAATCCCTCTGCTCAGAAGTAGAAAAGGATAAAAATCAGAGTAAGGCTGCAGGGCTGTTCTGGGACCAGGCAAGTTCCCAAGCAGAGTACCAGAGCACCTCTCACCTTGTCAAGTCATACCTTATGTTCAGACTATAACTTAGTAAAATAGCACAAGAATAAAAATCTAAGCAAACCATCTTTATTTTAAGCAAAGAACTTTTAATATTTTTGAAATAAAGCCAGGTATGAACAGCAGTGATCAATCCTGTGTCACATGCGTCTCACTAAGATCCAAGTAGTGCACAACCTGCGTGCAGACTCCCACCACAAGACAGTTATTCTTCCCACTGGCACTGTAGTTGTTTCTTGTCTAGTAATAGAGGTTTTCCATATTACGCTTTTCCTTCTAGAAGACCTTTAGTTAAATAAAGGACTAAGATCCAAGATCCAAGGATTTGATCCAAGATTCAAAATGTATTACAGCATTTCATATTATGTTCACCAAAACTGGCTAAAATCAAAAGTATTTACCTCACATACAGCCCAGTTTGATTTTGCAGCTGGGTAAGGGATGTTCAGCTAAAACTGAGTTTATCGCTGCCTCTTGTTGTGTATGTTAAGCATGCACAATGGAATACAGACATAAAAACTAGGAAGTTCTCTTCTTGTTCCCTGTTTACAGAAAACATATTCCTGATCCACTGGTGATGTCCAAGGTAAAATAACATGGTAACACTTTGTCCCAGTATCAATATCTCAATTAGAAATGTTGAGGACACAACCTAGGAATATAAAGACTGAAGAGTCGGAGACATAACTGCTCCTCAGAGGACGGCAGCAACGTGATGCCATGTCCACTGGGCCTGGACTTTGCTTGCACTGATGTAGAGGCAAGTCCTGGCCCAGAAGTGAAAGAAAAGCAAAAATGTGAACAAAAAGGAATATAGAAATGCATGACACTCCAATGTCACATGGGCACAGCACGTATGCAATCTTTGCACTCCCTAGCCAGATATTTGGAAATTATATTTGCAGAGAGGCAGAAATAGCAGCAGTGAAAAAAAGACCATTGTACTTTGCTACTCTCTACAGTTTTCTTGTCTAAAACTGAAATAATTTACTTCAGAGGTGGTGAGTAGCACAAAATACTTTCTTGGCAAAGAGGGAATGCAGAGCGAGGATATGAATTTATTATAATGGGACTTATTTTAATAAAATAATGCTTGGGAGGCTGGGTGACTCATCCAAGTTGCTGGAGATTTTAGTAGCCCAGGTGATATTCTCATCAAGGATAAAAAGGAGCACCCAGGCTCCTTATTCTTTTCTAATAAAAAGTAATAATAAAAAGTAAGCAAACCAAGAAGCACTCAGGCCAGTCTCTCCTTGAACCTCTACAGTACTGAACTGGAGTCAGCTGTGTGCTGAGCAGCACATGTCACTTCATTCTTTTGTCCAGCTAACTAAGGAGTAGTCAGGAGCATAGGAATCGCCTATGCTCTTACCATGCTATGTGCTGCATAGGATACAGGTGCCTCCAGAATTATTTCCAGGTGCTAGTGGCTGTGTTTGTGAAGAGGAGGAGGACAGTGGGCAGCACCAACCCCCTCTACATGGGACAGATTTTGTTCTCTGAAGCTGCAAGCTGAGCAGAAGAGTAGCAATTTCTGCGTTCATCTCCAACTTTCCTGCTCGAAACGGTGGCATGTGCTGCCATGGTGGACATCTCGCTCCCTCTTTTGTCCTGCGTGAGCATCACCCTGTCCAAGGTGGGGTCCATCTGGGACTCAGCCATCTCTGTGCTGCTGCAGTTGAACATCTGAATGAGGCACCTCCGGAACTGGAGAGGGGGGACACAGGACATCAGTCAAAACACACAACACACAAATTTCAGAAGGTCTCTGGGAGGTAGCCTGTGAAATTCTCTTTCACAGAAGAAACTGAATTTCAGATTAGTTGGTTACTTCTCCAGATTCATAACTTACTTTTATACATACTCAAAAATGGGTTATTTTTATCTTGTTCATATTCATAAGCAGGATGGTGACACTAAACTGTCAAGCTGTAGACACCTTCAATTCCACCTCAAAATAACTCACTGGTGAGGCAGTCTTAAAAATTATAGAAATTTAGTGGGAAAATCTTACAGTCTTGAACATGAAATTTTCACACAGAAACCAGAATAACTGATGTTCTCTAAGGGTGGATATCTAGACCTAATAGTTGTTAGGATTCATATTTTAGTAGCGATCAGAAGCTTATCCTGCATTCCATTAAATGGATATATAGTGATTTTTCAAATCTAAATGCTGAATACTTCCAGACTTTTTAACTGTCTTATTGTAACTACCCATGGCAGCTAGAAATAGTTGATTAAAGAGTAAGACAAACTAACTACATGAGCATTAAAGGCATAATTTGAGAGTATACAGTACCTGTTTGTTCATAAAGACATAAATAATGGGGTTATAAACGGTAGCTGTTTTGGAAAAGAAAGATGGAATTGCTGCCAGCCACGGATCCAGTTGCACGGAGGGGCACACGGTGACCAGGATAGACAAGGTGGCATAGGGCATCCAGCACACAAGGAACGCGAGGATCATCACCACCACCATCCTGGTCACTTGTGTTTCAGGTTTCCGGGTAGCTCCCAGATGGCCTTGGGTATCTGACACCTTTGAAGACAAAGCAGAAGATTGCAGGTCTCCAGACAGTGAAGATGGTGGGATGGGAGTAACTTGCAGTGCCAGGGAAAAAAACAGCCCATCCAGACTGGGCAACTCAGGAGGACACTGGAGTGTGATAATGCTCCTGCCGAGTGATACAGGAACATCACCACCTTGCAAGTTTTTGTGCAGGGATGACCTTCTTTCTGGGCTGGGGGAGAGAGGAGGAGGACAGGAAGGACACGGCTGGGCTGCGTCCATGAGATCTAGTGCTGAGCTCAACCTCTCCCAGCTACCTGGGCCTCCCGCCATCAACACCCTGTACAAATGTGGAAAAGTCTACCATGGGGGACCAGGAGGTCATCTGGAGTGTGCACTAAATTCTCTAAGGGGAAAATAAAAGATTTCACATTTCCCTTCTGTTTTGCTTTCTTGGAGGAAAGGATATTCAGAATAAATAAAGTCCTTGAAAATCTTAAATACTTTTAAAACACCAACAGTTTGAAGTAATTTCCTGGATTTATTACTGAAAAACAATGACAATGCAGCATTGCAGTAAATAAGCATAACAATATTGTTCCAGATCAGCATGACTAGCTTATTATCCTACTGTAAGTGGTAGGTATTCTCCTGTTCTAGTGCCGTTTTCTTTTTTGCTTTTTGAAGATTCTATTTTTAGCAGGTCAGTATAATTATTAAAAAAAAAAACACAAAATTATTTCTTAAGTCTTTGATATGTTCCTGAAGGATCTTGTGTTTTATTAATTGGACATTATTTATTCACTGGATATCATTATGTTATTTACATGTGCTACCTTCTGTTGTGAATAGGTACAGGCAGTAGCCAGCATTCTAGAAATTCACAAATGTTATGATTTTAAACTAGTTTAAATCTTAAGAAGGACCACTGAGCTTGAGTAGGTGTAAATAAACAATTATTGGCTTATTGTATTTCTCTATTTGTGACCCACACATGTTCTTTGCTTACCTTGATGCTTAGCTAGAAAGATGTGCTGATAAATGGTCCAAACTGTACACTTTGAAAAATCATTTCTAGCTGTAGCGTGGATTTCTGTGTGCAAGAATGATTACTTAACAAGTCATAATAACTAGGTGCATTTGCTGCCTGGAAATTTCATCTGTTTACACCTGATATTTCCAGAAAATAGCACAAAACCCTTCTGAATGCTTACATACACATGCTTTTTCAAAATTTACTTGTAATGCTTCTTCTTACCTTTCTTAATTTCCTCATCAATTTTCCATAGGATATCAAAATCACCAATAAAGGCACTATGAAACAGGTGGTGAGGAAAGTAATGATGTAGGTGTGATCAGTGTAAGCTCGAGAGTACCTGAATAAGACATAGAATGCATTTATATATGTTATTCTTATATCTTCTTACAATTTTCTTGTAGGTTCATTGTGCTCTTTGGAAACATTACCAGTATTTGTCTCTAAACCAGAGAGGCACTTGCTGCAGGCTCTAATCCCGGTGGAGCAATGGCTCAGTCCCTCCGGCACTCGCCTCTCCTTGGGGGGGTCTACATACAGGACACACTGGCTCTCACCACATTTTACAAAATGCATGGAGATGCAGAGCTCTTGACTTCAGCATTTTCCTTCTACAACTATTTCACGTTACAGGCTACTTCATGTACACCTGCTTTAATATGGCTCCAGCACATGGAGCAGTGCTATAATGCTGCAAGCCATGCACAGCACTCCATCTGCTTCACGGGACCCCAGGAATGTATATGCAAAAGTCCTCAGCTCCAAGCACTTCCCTTAGACCCCTGCCTTGGCCCCTTGCTGGAGAGCAGCCTCACCAGTTGGGTTCACAAGTGGTCCCGATCCTGCTGACCGTGTAGCTGCTCCAGCCCATGGTGGGTGGGATGGTCCAGATGAAAGAGAAGCCCCACACGAAGGCGATGCCGAGGACCGCGTGCTTCCCACCAAGGCGTGCGCTGCCCGGTGGGCGGCAGACCACGAAGTACCGCTCCATGGCCAGGAGCGCCAGCGACCACAGGGCAACAATGCCTTCAGTGAACAAACAGATAGATGCACTGAAAAGCAGGCTCTGCTCCACAGCAGCAGCCTCTTCTATCAACTAATGTTGTGAATGCACAATTCGTGTGTACTTACTTGGGCATTTCCTTAGGAGGACAAACTTCACATAATTGCCTTGTTTATCAGTCAACAGTACGGTGACTATGAAAGCAAGCAGCTACAGGGAAATTTATCTGAGGACCACTTCTGCTTTCACTCATATCTACTCTGAGAATCTGCAAATTATATGCAACTTGCAAATTAATAAAATAAGACCTGTCCTGAAGATGCTAGCTTTGCAAGAAATGTCACATTTCAAGCTCTAATGTACTAACAGCTGCCCACAGCCTCAGATTGTAAGCTTTTTAATCAAGTATTACTCAGTAAATCAACAAAATCCTGAGATAGCCTGATATTTTAGAGAATAAGAATAAAATTTCTACGGACACATCAAACAACCTAAGGAGCATGTGAGTGGTCATGAGATGGAGACTGGTTTCACCCAGTGAAGCTCTGAGGGGAAAAAGCTAAACATCCATCATCTGAAAGAGGAGTCCTTGAATGCTCCATGGGAAATATTTTGAGGTACTTTATATTGCAGAATAACCCCAGAAAGGCTGCTGCAATCTGGGCTGGAACTAGGTGGTTGCTACTGAGCACCTTGTACAGGAATTTCTGTACAGGACCTCTCACCACAGGTTGCTCTTACCCTTGGTACAGGTGGAGATTACCTGCTTTGGGGGCAATCCTAATGAGCTCTGTGAAGCCAGGAGAGACAAGAGACACTGCAATCCCTCATAGTGTGAAGAGTCACCTCTGCAGCTGTGTCCTCAACAGCCACTGGCCATCAGCAACGCGAGGAGCTTTGCAGACAGTGCCCACAGTCTGCAGCCTCTTATGCTTTCTAGCTCCTATTTTTACACACACACACATGCATGCACATACACTTGTGCATAAACCTTGAAAACAGTTGCACACAGCAAAATTTTGCCCCCCCCCCCAAAAAAAAAAAACTGTTACAGATATTCAATTAGCAAGCTCACATCTGCTTCAGAGGAAAATCCTGAAGAGAACTTCTCCTTAAAGCATAGGAAAAAAAAAAGTAGCATGCAGCCACAAGCGAAAGTAAGCTTACCAAAGAAGGTGACAGCGAATCCTTCCAGCACACAAGCCCAGTGTCCCATGTAAAAATACCCTCTCAGGTTGGCCAAGAAGCTGATAGTGCCACCAGACAAGGAGACCAGGAAGTCAGCCACGGACAAGTTGACGATCATGTAGTTGATGGGCTGTCTCAGCTGCTTGAACCTGGAGGTCACCAGGATGACGGCCAGGTTCTCAGCCAGTGACAGGGCCGTCACCACCAGCATCACGGCAGCCAGCAGCCTGAAGTGCCAGGGCTGGACAGACGCCAGGGGCTGGTGGAAAGGGTCCCAGCCAGCAGCAGTGGAGGGACTGGGCAGCCCTGACTCATTTGCATTCATTTTCTCTCTTACTAAAGAAAATGTCATATAATACTGGAGTTTATAACCTATAAATAGTGCTCAGGATTAGAAGGAGACACTTACTGCGTCCAGCAGTGGCGCATGCAGAGCCTCCACGCTCCTGCTCCCAGGAAAGCCCTGGAGAGGAGCTGCTCAGAGGGAGGTTCCTGGAGGGGCTGCAGCCCCCGCTGCCTGCCCCATCCTCCTCTGCATCTGCAGCCTCCTCCCCTCCCGCCCCACAGCAGCGCAGACATCCCATCTGACCCGTGTCCATCCACATGCATCCCGATGCTGCTGAGGATTAACCCGGAGCACCACAGTGCAGGGGGAATGTGCAGCCCCCATCTCACCTGTGCCCAGCGCAACTCAGGGAGGTTCTGGGGATGAAAGGCAAATCAAGCCATATAACCGGTGCTTGCGGCTGCACTACCATGTCTTAAAGACACGTTTTCAAGGGCAGAGTAAGAAACAAGTTGTGACAGCAGACACTGTGTTGACAGGGAAGGTAATAGCGAGTCATGTATATCTGAGAAAACTGAGTGGCTGTATCTGAGCATCAGCACTTTTGAGCAGCTGTGGTTCCTTATTCCCACTCAGCGAGCACAGGCACTACGGTCCTGCTGCCCCGATGAGAGGGCCGCACTGGGCCAAAACCACTAAAGAAAACCAGCTTTCAACCCGAAAGACTGAATTTTGGCACAGACCACATGTGATGCCCAAGTAGACAGGGATGAGCAAGAGTGAGCAGAGGCAGCACCACCTGTGCATCCGCTTGGATTTGCACTTGCTCTGGCCCACTCAGGAAGCACTTCCTTAGCACAGGTTAGAGTCCTTTTGCATGCACTAATGGCATTAAAAGGGTTCCGAAAAAAAGTCAAAGCACCATAAATAAAAGGCTGATACTATCCCAGCCACACAAAACCACCAGCAGTCCTCTGCTAGGGGTGATTCTGCATCATTCTGCTGCCTGTAGAACACAGCACAAGGGCCACAGTGTGTCTTTAAAATCAAGTGTGAAAACTATGTGAAATAATACACAATTTAAATTCCCTGTGTGTCAGGGTGACAGTAGAGCTCTGGTTTCTTCATGTGCTGCCATTCTGAGCCTGAGGGGATATTGGAGAGCAGTATTTTAAAATATATGTTGACAGAAGATATATAATTTAAAATTGAAGAAAACAGTAACAGGACAATGATTTTCTACAGTGTGTTGAATTTTAACTGATGCCAAAACTGCTCTAAATACCCACCTTGGCCACAAGTACTTGCAGAGTGGAGGGCCTCGGCATTATGTAGCTGTTATAACATTGCAGAAGACTTCTTTTACCCAAGAGATGCCTAGTTATCATTTTGTCATTGTAGTGCAATTTCCCCCCCCCTTTTTTTTAATTTTGACTAGCTGGACCAGGAACCACAAGACTGAAGATTCAAATAAATGGAAAAGTCCTCAGGATGGTCATATCTCTTCAAAAATCTGCTTACCATAGTATCTAATTAATGAAGATTTATATCCTGTCATCTAAGATCTTCATAAAGTAAGAACTCTAAGGAAATGGGATAAAAAATAATAACATTTTACACAGAGTCCTGGCAAATAAACTGTAGACATTTAATACTTGGCTTTTTGCACACTTTTCCTGAAAAAATATAATACCATACTCTATGACAACAAAATATGATATGTATTTAGGCTTCTAGTATTTATGGAAAATTATTATTTTTCTTAATTATTATTACATTTCTTTATGGATAGCATTAGATTTTAGTCACTACACCATGTCATTATTGTGTAGAAGGAATCAGCGAAACAGAAATACTGTAAATTACTTCAACAGAAGAGATCACTGCAATGAACATCTGCCTGTTGTATGTATATGGATAGGATATACATATTTATGCATATACATGTATATATTTAGGATATAGATCATAAATATTATGAAAGGATTGAGGTGCTACTCATGTGGGATAGCATACCATTATAAAGACATTGCAAAGTCCTTCTGGTTTCTAAAATTCTGGATAATCATGGAAAGATGGCTTGTCTAAATAAACAGTCTGAACATCCAAGAGCCAATGCAAAAGCTGTCATCAATAAAGAGGTTTTCAATTTTTCCACTTAATCTGGTTGTACCACCAAAACATTTATTTCTCAGTGATTATTTTTATCTTTGCTTATTTTGTGCACTTGTCTGTGCAGAGTATTCCAGGTGTTGACAACTGAAAAAATATATATCTGCTTTTTAATTTTTTTGCAGCTGTTGAAAGCTAACAATTACACATTTGAAGTCCCATCAGAAAACACAAATCTGTAATAATGGCAGCATTTTGGCCTGCTCTCTCACCTTTAAGTGACAGGCAGGAAATACTTTGTTCTCCTGCTTATTGAAAAAACTTAAGTGGAAGCTTCTTCTATAAGAAGATAAAACTTGTATACAAAGGAGATATTCCACACTGGAAAAGATATCAGCATAATTACAGGAATTGTAATAACCAATATATAACAAAGCTGGCATTTAAACATGTTCTATTAACTATAAGAACATAATTTTTAAAAATACCTATTGAGCATCAGAAAAGGAAATCACTTGTGAGCAAGCACTCAGGTTGTATTTACTTAAGACATAAGAACAATAACTTGCACTTTGGGGCCTCTTCTGGGCATTAAGACTGTTTAATTTGTGACAGGGCGGTGCTTGGCAAAGCACAGTTAACCCTGCGCTGGGCTGGGTTTGAAAGCAGAGGAGGACGGTGCCAAACAAGAACCTCCCCCAGCACGTCGCGTGTCCACATCCCTGCACAGCAGCACTCTGATCCTCCTACAGCCAGGAGCCAGAGCTGTATCTGCACTGAATAGTTCATCCAGCAGCAGCCAGGGCAAGCCTCCACCAAAACTCAATACAATATGGCTCTTATAACCTCTTCTACACATTCACCTTTGAATTTAACTGATTTTGTTACAACGTCTAGTTTTCAATCTCGCTTCATCTTCCAATGGTAGCAAGTCACCAGGCAAGTTTTTCTCTCCTTGTAGTGGACTGTCAGTGTTGTTTTCTTGGTCTGCAGCTGCAGACTCCAGCTAAGAGACAACAGATTCATCTCATTTTGTTACTCCTGCTTCAAGGAAACAACAGAAGATATTTGCTTTCATGAAGATTTATGTCATTGCTACAGTCAGTTCTACATTATTCAAAGACCTATGAAACATAACATGACTTTGCCTTCTATCTGAGATTTATTTATGCTTGTTTGGGACCAACTCTGTCATTCTCTTGTGACTAGAGTTCATGATATGAGATTGATAGAAATATAAGTGATTGCATCTACCCCAGAGATTCCTGAGGAAAAAGGAAAAACATTAAATTCCCCCCTTCCATTTGACCACATCATGCTGATGTGCATGGAGAATCTTTGGTTGGGAAAGTTTTGATGATTTTATCTGCAGGAACAAAAGATCCCTCACAAGTCATTTTTAAGGTTGATATGCATGGATAAAATGCTCCAGTGGCATGATGCTTAGGAGGTCTGCAATGGATAGGTTCTTGAAACAGCCCAAGGTGGAAGTGCTGTGACTGAAACAAATATGCCCCTTTGTGAAGAGGCACCCCCTTTCAGCGTCAGGCCCTGGTAGCCGTGCTGTTGTCCTTCCTACAGGGAGCACCTAATAACAAGAAAGACACTGCCAGTCTGTGTGTTTCCCAGCTCAGTAGGTAACAACGCTGAAACATAAACTGTATGACACTAGTGTCCTTTTTTTTGTTCCTATACGGAAGAACCTAGGGCAAATGATAAATTTCTAACACACAGTTTTCAGCCTAGTTGCAAAATAAATGCACAACTGAGGGATATGGCAACATAAAGGGACATTCCTTTTTGCACACTAGGGACACATTGAGGGATGATAGCTTATGATAGTTTCACTAAGCACTTGAGAGTCATATAGGTGATCACTGTGATTAAATAAATACATGTTCAACTTATTCATGAACGACCTGGATGAAGGGCTGGAGTGCTCCCTCAGCAAGTTTGCCGATGATACCAAACTGGGTGGAGTAGCTGATAGCCCTGAGGGCTGTGCTGCCATCCAGAGGGACCTGGACAGACTGGAGGACTGGGCGGCGAGAAACCTCATGAGGTTCAACAGGGGCAAGTGCAGGGTCCTGCACTTGGGGAGGAATAACCCTGGACACCAGTACAGATTAGGAGTGGACCTGCTGGAGAGCAGCCCCGCAGAGAGGGACCTGGGTGTCATGGTGGACGACAAGTTGACCATGAGGCAGCAGTGTGCCCTGGTGGCCAAGAAGGCCAACGGGATCCTGGGGTGCATTAAGAAGAGCGTCTCCAGCAGGTCGAGGGAAGTGATCATCCCCCTCTACTCAGCCCTGGTGAGGCCACATCTGGAGACTGTGTCCAGTTCTGGGCTCCCCAGTACAAGAGGGATGTGGAGCTGCTGGAGAGAGTCCAGCGCAGGGCTACGAGGATGATCAGGGGCCTGGAACATCTGCCCTGTGAGCAAAGGCTGAGAGAGCTGGGTCTGTTCAGCCTGGAGAAGAGGAGGCTGAGGGGGGACCTGATCAGCGTGTATAAATACCTCAAGGGAGGCAGTGAGGAGGAGGGGGGCGGCCTCTTTTCAGTGGTGGGCAGGGATAGGACTAGAGGAAATGGCTTCAAACTGAAGCATCGGAAGTTCCACAGGAACTTAAGGAAGCATTTCTTCACTGTGAGGGTGACAAAGCACTGGAACAGGCTGCCCAGAGAGGTTGTGGAGTCTCCTTCTTTGGAGATCTTTAAAACCCGCTTGGATGCAGCCCTGTGCCACGTGCTCTGGGTGACCCTGCGTGAGCAGGGGGGTTGGACTCGATGACCTCTGAGGTCCCTTCCAACCTTCGGCATTTTATGATTCTATGATTCTATGTAAATACATTTCCTCCATGTTCAGTGAGAAAGCATGTTTCATATCCAAGATATTGACTTAAAGCTAACCTGATGTTATTTCATTC